AAATAGATTTTGACAGATTAATTTAAGTGAACATTTTACCAATTCCACCATCCTTCTTGCTCTAGCTGATACCTGTCTTCCATAGCTTAACTTGTTCTCTATGTGGCCAAACTGATTCAATTTGTCAGATGAATATTGAAGTTAGAAACAGAAATGTTTTATTCAAACACCAAAATTTGTTACACATTTCAAGATGAAATAATTGACATTTATGTACACATGTGTCTTGTTTTGTCGAAACAGAATGGCATAGAATATGCTTCCTGGCGTCATGGCTTCTAAAGAAGCACAATTACTGTCAAATCTTTTCCAAATTTAAGTTCTCAATTTAACCCACAGATGGAATTCTTTGCCAAATATACATTGTTCATGTAATGAGCGAAATAATATACATACTGTCCTTTTCTGATGAATACAATTGTTGATCCAACAATCTATATTGCAAACAAACCTCGCCATTAAATATCAATATAACAATTCAGAAACTGACCAGGCTATTTTTCCATGACAAACAGATCTAACCATGTAAAGATCAGTTCCAAGTAATTCCCTTCTCAAAGTGTTCAATAGTTGTTGCATAAAAATGGCCAATTCCTGAAACATCATGCATACCACGGATTCAGTACAACAATGTCAAGAAAGCTCAGACAATGTGGTGGCAAGACCGAAGGGAAGGTTATCGAAGTCATGACATGCTCAAGGGGAGTCATTTCACTGTCTGAAATATTGATAACATCTATCAGACTCTATGGTAAACTGGAGACGTAAGGTTCTGAAGCTCACCTGATTTTTCACTGTACAGTGAGTGAGTGGGTTTAGTTTAAGCCCGCTTTTAGCAATATTCCAGCATTATCACACCAGAAATGGGCTTAACACATTGCACCCACTTGAGGAATCGAACCCGGGTCTCGTGATACGAACTCTTTAAGCACAAGGCTACCCCACCACCCCTTGACTACAGCCTGAAGGGAGGGTCACTGAAGACATGACATGCTTAATGGGGGTCCTTTGAAACATGTATTAGACTCCATTATAAACTGGGTATGTACTCCACCTATTATACGACCAATATATCCAAATATACACACGGAATCCAAACAACATCATAAATATGTCCTACTTCAATGCTGTGCCAATGCATCACCAACAGCATTTGAAATTAACGTCGGTCCTTAGACCTAAAACTGACAGAAAACCACCCGGACCCACAGCTTTTGTTTCCTGAAGGTCCTAATGGCCGACAGCTTTTTCATCCCCAATAACTAACAGTACTATTTTTCAGAAAATATCAATCATTAATGTATAGTTTTTGTCTCGATCAGCAGCTGTTGTGTGTAAGTGAAACAACTATCATTGTCGAGGAAGCAATATAGCAAACGTTGTCACATGTTTTGTTTGTTTATATTGTAGCAAAGATATAGGGCCTACACATTCTGATCAGGACCCACAACTTGTTATGGTTCTGAGTCCTTTGCCTGCAGCTTTTCAGGATTAAGGGCAAACACTGATCGCCAATTCAATCTGATAAAATTATACAGTCTACCAAAAGATCAATTCCTGCTTAAAAGCTGCATAGATTTCAACACACAATTGACGTTCTGCTGATGCCAAATTGTAAACTTGGCCTCCCATCCCCTAGCACTTGTTCACCAGCCTATGAGAAAACAAAGAGCCAGATCCAAATTCAAAAGAACTATAAGGAGTCAGATGAGAATGAGTGTAAGTGAGTGAGTGAGTTTAGTTTTACGCCGCACTCACCAATATTCCAGCTATATGGTGGCGGTCTGTAAATAATCGAGTCTGCACCAGACAATACAGTGATCAACGGCATGAGCATCGATCTGCGCAATTGGGAACCGATGACATGTGTCAACCAAGTCATCGAGCCTGACCACCCGATCCCCTTAGTCGCCTCTTACGACAAGAATGGGTTACAGAAGATCAATATTCTAACCCGGATCTTCACGGGTATGAGAATCTTTGCCAATAACATAAAACTATCTCTGTCAATAAGATAAAACTATCTCTGCCAATAACATAAAACTATCTCTGTCAATAAAATAAAACTATCTATTTCAATAAGGTAACACTATCTCTGTCAATAAGACAACACTATCTCTGCCAATGACATAAACTATCTCTGTCAATAAGACAACACTATCTGTCAATAACATAAAACTACCTCTGTCAATAACATAAAACTACCTCTGTCAATAACATAAAACTATCTGTACTGTGAGTGAGTGGGTTTAGTTTAAGCCCGCTTTTAGCAATATTCCAGCATTATCACACCAGAAATGGGCTTAACACATTGCACCCACTTGAGGAATCGAACCCGGGTCTCGTGATACGAACTCTTTAAGCACAAGGCTACCCCACCACCCCTTGACTACAGCCTGAAGGGAGGGTCACTGAAGACATGACATGCTTAATGGGGGTCCTTTGAAACATGTATTAGACTCCATTATAAACTGGGTATGTACTCCACCTATTATACGACCAATATATCCAAATATACACACGGAATCCAAACAACATCATAAATATGTCCTACTTCAATGCTGTGCCAATGCATCACCAACAGCATTTGAAATTAACGTCGGTCCTTAGACCTAAAACTGACAGAAAACCACCGGACCCACAGCTTTTGTTTCCTGAAGGTCCTAATGGCCGACAGCTTTTTCATCCCCAATAACTAACAGTACTATTTTTCAGAAAATATCAATCATTAATGTATAGTTTTGTCTCGATCAGCAGCTGTTGTGTGTAAGTGAAACAACTATCATTGTCGAGGAAGCAATATAGCAAACGTTGTCACATGTTTTGTTTGTTTATATTGTAGCAAAGATATAGGGCCTACACATTCTGATCAGGACCCACAACTTGTTATGGTTCTGAGTCCTTTGCCTGCAGCTTTTCAGGATTAAGGGCAAACACTGATCGCCAATTCAATCTGATAAAATTATACAGTCTACCAAAAGATCAATTCCTGCTTAAAAGCTGCATAGATTTCAACACACAATTGGCGTTCTGCTGATGCCAAATTGTAAACTTGGCCTCCCATCCCTAGCACTTGTTCACCAGCCTATGAGAAAACAAAGAGCCAGATCCAAATTCAAAAGAACTATAAGGAGTCAGATGAGAATGAGTGTAAGTGAGTGAGTGAGTTTAGTTTTACGCCGCACTCACCAATATTCCAGCTATATGGTGGCGGTCTGTAAATAATCGAGTCTGCACCAGACAATACAGTGATCAACGGCATGAGCATCGATCTGCGCAATTGGGAACCGATGACATGTGTCAACCAAGTCATCGAGCCTGACCACCCGATCCCCTTAGTCGCCTCTTACGACAAGAATGGGTTACAGAAGATCAATATTCTAACCCGGATCTTCACGGGTATGAGAATCTTTGCCAATAACATAAAACTATCTCTGTCAATAAGATAAAACTATCTCTGCCAATAACATAAAACTATCTCTGTCAATAAAATAAAACTATCTATTTCAATAAGGTAACACTATCTCTGTCAATAAGACAACACTATCTCTGCCAATGACATAAACTATCTCTGTCAATAAGACAACACTATCTGTCAATAACAGAAAACTACCTCTGTCAATAACATAAAACTACCTCTGTCAATAACATAAAACTATCTCTGTCAATAACATAAAACTATCTCTGTCAATAAGATAACAATATCTCTGCCAATAACATAACACTATCTCTGTCAATAACATAACATTATCTCTGTAATTAGGATAACACTATCTCTGTCAATAACATAACACTATCTCTGTAATTAGGATAACACTATCTCTGTCAATAACATAACACTATCTCTGTAATTAGGATAACACTATCTCTGTCAATAAGACAACACTATCTCTGTCAATAACATAAAACTATCTCTGCCAATAACATAACGCTATTTCTGCCAATAACATAAAACTATCTCTGTCAATAAGATAACACTATCTCTGTAATTAGGATAACACTATCTCTATCAATAACATAAAACTATCTCTGCCAATAACACAACACTATCTCTGCCAATAACATAACACTATTCTGCCAATAACATAACACTATCTCTGCAAATAACATAACACTATTCTGCCAATAACATAGCACTATTTCTGCCAATAGATGACAATGCAGGAAATATCCTGGCTAGAGTAAGAGTGGAATACCTGACAAAAATAGTATAATTAATGGCAGGCTTCCTCTGGGTGCTGGAACCGTGATATTTCATAGTAAGCTTTATCTAACATGACAGTACAGAAGTCTGCCCTTTTTTTTTTACACTGTTGAGTGTTTCCTCAATTCAATTTTATGTTTAAAAGGTGAATCTTGTTTGGGCAAATGGAACAGATGTGTACATCATCAAACTCATTCAAATTTCCATCCTCCATATAAAAGCTGTCCTTTTCAGAATGGTAATCAAATTAGTAGCAACTCAAAACATTTTTTTACATGTACACCCAAAAGATTTGAAATTGATTTCCCTATTCACAAACCGGAAGCAAAACATATTCATATTCCTTGTCATATTCAAAATAATCTTCAGACAAGAAAGAGATATCGATGTTATCCATCCTTGAAAAGGAAGCATGATGGCAAAAATACACAACACTCCACTAATCTAAAGGAGTCGTATACATTTCATTAGATTTTTTATGTATCAGAACAACCACAGCAATATGGTAAATGAAGTTACAATATCAGTGTTCAGTACTGTACATCAACTAAATTCAAATAAAGTAAGAATGCTTTCTTTCTAGAATTTGTTAATCACTTTGTTGACACTCAAAGGTATGATTGTACTGGGGGTAGGAATCTGGGCTTGAACCCTCTATCGGAACTTCTCACACTATAAAGGGACACAACTCTGCTATACTGGGGCACAACTGCATAATTACTGTCAAAACTGATCAATAAATTCATATCTGAAAAATAATATTAAAACATGTATGGAAACACCATATTCCACATACCTGTACTTTTGATGTGGGCAGCGGACATTGTTGCATGATCTCAAGTGGTCCTCTAAATCCTGAAAATAGAAACGTTAAACATAATTCCATGATGTAACGTAAACAATCAACAGAATAACATAACTTCACCCATGTGCTTCACTTCACCCTTTAGGTGGTATCTATGACAATCAGTAACAACTGCTCATGATCTTCTAGGCTGGAAAATATTTCCTTCATCCAAGGTGAACAGTTTCATGAGCAGTTAAGTCATGTAAACAATTACGCTGGAATTCATATTTTTTCTGTCACAATTTCCTTTTCCAAATGATCACCCACTTTAGACCCATTTACTGTTTTGTCCAAATATTTATTCAGTATTTCACAAATAACTGCCTTAATGTGGATTAATAAAACTCAAAAGATGCCAGAAGCAATCGTTGCTGGAGACATGCATGAATGTTTCATGAAATTCTGTCTCTTATTACGTTACATCAGTGTAAATTCATTTTTCTTCCCACTGACTCCAATGGAATAATTAGCGTCAAAAATACATCAGCCATAATTTCAGATCTTGTTAACATTGATTCTGGAATTGAGCATTTATATCTGTCTGTGGGATGATAGAAATATTCACCCTGGTGTGGAACACTGCACCAACAAAACAAAACCACCAACTTTCTTCAGTCCGGTGCCTGCCAACATTCTCACAATTCTAATTCCGAAAAAGGAATAAAGTTTGCTGTGGAACTCACCTACGGATTTCAGCACTTTAAGTTAATTCCATCCAAAAATAAAGTCTTTACATATAAGTCAGCCCCATGATGGGACTTCGATCCCTGGCAGGTTTTCAGATCTTTGGTCTATTTCCTGGCTTTGGTGTATCATGCAACGGCAAGTCCTCAAATGTGATCAATAACAACAAAGCTAGTTTTGGTAGAAATATGAACACATAAACCCAGGATATAACTCACTGTGGGGATAGTACAGGGCCCTGTATGCTGAAGTAGTAGACATGAAACATGCAGATAAACTTATACATCAGGCGAACCAAGATTTGAACCAATGAGTTTAAGGGACATCAGTGTAAATATTATAGAAATTATGCCAGGTGAATTCTTGGTGAATGGTGGTGTGTGTTTGAGTGAGTGAGTGAGTGTTTGAGTGTTTGAGCGAGTGAGTGAGTGAGTGAGTGAGTGAGTGAGTGAGTGAGTGAGTGAGTGAGTGAGTGAGTGAGTGAGTGAGTGAGTGAGTGAGTGAGTGAGTGAGTGAGTGAGTGAGTGGTTTTACACTGCTTTCAGCATTATTCCAGTAAAATCATGGCGGGGGACATTAGAAATGAGCTTCACACACAATGACCATGTGTGGAATCAAACCCAGATCAATGGCGTGACAAGCAAACGCTCTAACAACCAGGCCACTCACTCAGGCTGTCTTTGATGATACAATTTGTCAAAGAAGCAGACAACAGTTTCGATTACTCCATCTGTGTTCTTGTTGGCCTATAGAAGGAGTGAGTGTGTTTAGTTTTATGCCGCTTTAGGCAATATTCAAGTGGGGGACACCAGAAATGAGCTTCACAAATTGTACCCATGTGGGGAATTGAACCCGGGCCTTTGGCGTGATGAGCAAACGCTTTAACCACTAGGCTACCCCACCGCCCAGAGACAGAAGAAGCAATATAAGGTATCCTCAACTCCATTACAACACATGATGCTGACATATTGTCACGGGATATCGAATATTGGTACTTTCCTCTATCAGAGTAAGATTACACACAATGTTCGCCATTTATTCTCTCCAGGACAACTTACAGTAGGACTTGTATGCAATGACTGATGAATGTTAAAGGGTGCACAGAAACATATATTGCTTATCCTGCAGCTATATTTCAGAGAAGGGCAAATAATACAATCTGGATCAAACCATCCAGTGATCATTACAATCAATGATCTATCACAGCAAGGGACATCAGAAATTGGCTTCACACATTGTACCCGAGTGGGGAATTGATCCACAGCCTTTGGCATGACAACAGGGTTTTACGTGACGCATGATTCCTGCGTATTGGACACAGAAATTTGATGAAGTACCCCCAAACTAAACTAACTTACTGTGTTTGTTATCTTTCGTAAATATATATGTCACAAAACGAACTTGTCAACTGACATGTTACAGCCAATGTATTTTTTCGATTATTGTTATGATACAGATTGAAATCCATTCTTATTTGTTATTTACTTTGTGATTGGGTAACTAGAAAACAAGAACCAATAAACAAGTCTAATAGCGCTGAGGTGATAATATGCTCCTCGAACCTGTTTATAGACATCGCTCATGCAGTGCTAATAGTAACGCACTGTGCAGAGTTTTTGACAATGTTTGGTTTGGTTTATGTTTTGTGTTTTGATGGACTCCAAATTTTGGAAATGGACTCCCCAAAAATATGCCCTGGGTCCCCAGAACTCCCAGTTTTGAAGAACTATGCAAAACCCTGGTGACAAGCGAACACTTTAACCACTAGGCCACCCACCCTAAGCTATGGTGATAAATATAATATCTCAACACCATGGTGTCATATTTCACATGCTTGTAGGAGCCAATGAAGGAACAAGAGCATGAGGAGCATGTTCAAACGATGAAACAAGGTTCTTAGACAATGTGGGTACAATGTGTGAAGCCCATTTCCAGTGTCCCCGCCATGATATTGCGAGAATATTGCTAAAAGTGGCGTAAAACCACTCACTCACTCTTAGACAATGATATAGTTTCCGCACAGTTGCAGCAGCAGCCCAGTCATCTCAGCTACCCCACACTGAACCATCTGATGCACTACGAACCACTGAGTGCATCAATACTGATTAATTCTACCGAGGAGTCTCGAAAACAAAGCCAATGACAAGTTCTGCAGACACAGCTTCTAACCTATCAAACTCAGCATTCATATGAAGCACTGGATCTCACCATCACCTTGTGTCACACTGAAAGCACATGGGGCATACTCATTGGAATCCCAGCATGCATGGCATGACTGCTTTGGTTATAACAGAAATTGATTGGTCGATTAGTCGAATGTGTTGGAGTGACATTACAAAACCACACTGGCATGTTTTAGGAATGATGTGTGAGTGATGTGAGTGATCTGATGTGAGTGATTTGATGTGAGTGATTTGATTGAATGAATGATTGATTGATTGATTGATTGATTGATTGATTGAATGATTGATTGAATGAATGAATGAATGAATGAATGAATGATGTTTTACACCACACTCAGTAATATTCCAGCTATATGGTGGTGGTCTGTAAATAACCAAGTTTGGACCAGTGAATCCAGTGATCAATAGCATGAGCATCGATCTACGCAATCTGATACGTTGGCATGTGTCAACCCAGTCAGCGAGACTGACCACCCGATCACATTAGTCGTCTCTTATGAGTGAGTGAGTGAGTGAGTGAGTGAGTTAGTGAGTGAGTGAGTGAGTGAGTGTGTGAGTGAGTGAGTGAGTGTCCAGGATGGCCATTAATATGTTCCATTAGTTACTACTAACACACTCCATAAAGTTTACCAAAGTGGTTTTAAAAATATGTCCGGCTTTTATCAACAAATATGGTTCATTATCTCTCAATATCCCCTTAGAATGTAGCTCCTACCTACTTGCATTTCTCATACAGGAGATGCCCAACATAAAACCTCAATCTCTGATATTTCTGCATCAAATTGACCAAAACCTATCCTACAAGTGACAAGATCAACACTAAAGCTTCTACTCTCAAAATACCTCAAAGAACCATACTTCGATTCCCAACACTTGAAAACTTTATGCAAGCAGAAAATACATAATTCCTTTCAGAAAGAACATGTTCCCAAGGCAGAAAAACATGTACAGTCTTTAAAGCCAAATACCCATCACTGACTGTACAACACAAAATGTCTGCACATATTTAGAAAATGACAGCAGATATTTTTAGCCCTTTCATTCAAACAAATTTAGTCATTAAAATGTTCACGGTAGTTGCTCCTGCAGCCAAGTCATAAATACCACTGGGACGTCATATAGCAGACATATTAACGCCTCCTCCAAGTAACTCGGAATCACCTCATCCATCAAGTGAATATATACAAATATTTACCTTCTTCAGCAACGGTGGGCAGCCTGCAGCATTGGGGCACTCCACGGGCATGTAATCACAGTCAGCTTCATGATCGCTGAAATTATATACACAGACTAAATAATCTCATATGGAAAAGCTTTTCTAATCAATAAATTATTTATGTGCCTCATTATCGCCTGAAACATCTCCTGAGAGTCATTTGTTAAAAAAATTACATTATTATTTGGAGGATGTTAATCTAGATGCACCAGAAACAGTGAGTGTTACACATTTGAAACATTAATAGTTCCATTTGCAGTCATAATTAATATCACACTGCCAACTCGTAATGGAAAAAGTTAGTTTTAAGTGCTCTATGAAAATACGTATTGTCTGCAATTGAGGAAGAATGTCAGACAGTAACATACCATTATGAGGCATTTGGACAAATTTGGTTTACATGCTGCCATCATCACAAAATCAATTGTTATATGTCAAATGTTATGATTACGAAAGACAATAAAATAACACTAGATTGATCGTACATTTTCAGAAAACATTGATATGACAATGTGGAAGGAAGGACTGGTTGACTTTGAGTTGCCCTTCATGGTGGGAAACAACACTGTTTGTGTGTGCGTGTGTGAGTGCGTGTGTGTGTGCGTGCGTGAGTGCGTTTGTGTGTGTGAATGAGTGAGTTTGCCTCTCAACAGTATCCGAGTTACATCACAGTGTTAATATTAGCCTCATGTGAGGTCTCAGATATTTCCCTAACATAAATTAATGCACATCCACATTCAAACACACAATCAGATTTTTTCTGATGTGCCACGGGTGGTGGGGTACTCTAGTGGTTAAAGCATTCAGCTCGTCACGCCAAAGACCCGGGTTCAATTCCCCACATGAGTACAATGTGTGAAGCCCATTTCTGGTGTCCCCCGCCGTGATATTGCTGGAATATTGCTAAAAGCGACGTAAAACTAAACTCACTCACTCTGATGTGCCATCAGATGCAACTACACGGCACATTATGGTACCTCAGATGAATGGGTCACCAGTCTCCCCACTTGGAACACCATAACATCTGTAAACAGTCTTCTCATAGTTTCCTAATAATACAACTAGCACCAGAACCTGGTGATACAATGACAGTGTTTGAATGCAAGACCATCTTGGACTACCAAAACATACAACAAACTTCTCCATCTTACAAAATAATGTAACTAAAAAGTGACTATGGCCGAATCATCACTGAGTCAGTAAGTGAGTTTAGTTTTACGCCACTTTTAGCAATAGTCCAGTAATATCACTGCTACTGACCCCAGAAATGGGCTTCATGTATCCATGTCGGGAATTGAATTGGGGTCTTCAGCATGATGAGCAGACGCTTTAACATTAGGCTACCCGACCTCCAAGAACACAACTTAAACCCTGTCTTTCCACGTCTTCACAATAATACAACTAGTACTAAAACCTAGTGCCACAATGGCAGTTTGAATGGAAGGCCATCTAGGTTTACCAAACTGTGTCATATTCTGTCCTAATAATGTAACTAAAGCGGGACTATGCAGGCATCATCTGGGATGACTACTGTCTTCGAGTCTTGATTGTCATTGTAACCTAGCAACACAGACTGATTCTCAGACCACTCACAGCGGAGGATTGCATCGTGTTGCGTGTCATTGTAACCTAGCAACACAGACTGATTCTCAGACCACTCACAGCGGAGGATTGCATCGTGTTGCGTGTCATTGTAACCTAGCAACACAGACTGATTCTCAGACTACTGACAGCAGAGGATTGCATGCGTGTTGCGTGTCATTGTAACCTAGCAACACAGACTGATTCTCAGACAGACTACTGACAGCAGAGGATTGCATCGTGTTGCGTGTCATTGTAACCTAACAACACAGACTGATTCTCAGACAACTGACAGCAGAGGATTGCATCGTGTTGCGTGTCATTGTAACCTAGCAACACAGACTGATTCTCAGACTACTGACAGCAGAGGATTGCATCGTGTTGCGTGTCATTGTAACCTAGCAACACAGACTGATTCTCAGACTACTGACAGTGGAGGATTGCATCGTGTTGCGTGTCATTGTAACCTAGCAACACAGACTGATTCTCAGACCACTCACAGCGGAGGATTGCATCGTGTTGCGTGTCATTGTAACCTAGCAACACAGACTGATTCTCAGACTACTGACAGCAGAGGATTGCATCGTGTTGCGTGTCATTGTAACCTAGCAACACAGACTGATCCTCAGACTACTGACAGTGGAGGATTGCATCGTGTTGCGTGTCATTGTAACCTAAGCAACACAGACTGATTCTCAGACTACTGACAGGTGGAAGATTGCATCGTGTTGCGTGTCATTGTAACCTAGCAACACAGACTGATTCTCAGACTACTGACAGTGGAGGATTGCATCGTGTTGCGTGTCATTGTAACCTAGCAACACAGACTGATTCTCAGACTACTGACAGTGGAGGATTGCATGGTGTTGCGTGTCATTGTAACCTAGCAACACAGACTGATTCTCAGACCACTCACAGTGGAGGATTGCATCGTGTTGCATGTCATTGTTACACGGCAACACAGACTGATGCTCAGACAAATGACAGCAGAGGATTGCATCGTGTCACGTCAAACTTACATAGCCTTTATTATACAGACATATCACGCCAGACAACCGCCAAAACACCCTCCATTCAATCCACCATTGATACAAATCATGTCTGACCTTACCGACATGACCGACTCACTGGGTTAAACTAATGACTGCAAGTAATGTAGATTTGATGCATTTTTACCTTGGTTAAACATACACATCTTCATAAACAAACAATTCTGACAGAAAATTGATAGACTCTTCTTCAGATATTGCTTGGCCAAAGATCAGAAAAGTTTAAATTGCAAGACAATTATTGTTCAGGAGGGTCTCCTGTGATCAATCAGTGAGGTGTGTCGGAGCACAATGTACAAAGTGTGTATAGGGCTTGCAAGTGACAGCTCGGCTTGTGCAGTCTCCCCCCTTGAATGTCCACTTACACAAAGATGTAACTTCAGGGGAACTCTCCATTATTGATTTTCTGCACAGACTAAACACCAAGTCAGCTTCATGATATCTGTTTGAAACTTCTGTTTGAAAGTTCACCCAACTTATCAAGACAAGCATAAATTTTACACCAGTGACCCTTTTGAGCGAGTGAATGACTGACACTTCAGAGTGAGTGACCCTTTTGAGTGAGTGAGTGACCCTTTTGAGCAAGTGAATAACTGACCCTTTAGTGTGAGTGACCTTTTTGAGCGAGTGAGTGACACTTTTGAGTGAAAGAGTGACCCGAGTGAGTGACCTTTTTGAGTGAGTGAGTGACCTTGAGTGAGTGAGTGAGTGACGCTTTTGAGTGAGAGAGTGACCCGAGTGAGTGACCTTTTTGAGTGTGTGAGTGAGGTACTGGTGTTGTGTTATCCACAGTAGTCATTAATATACAAACATCTGTGGACCACAGAGAGTGACTGGAAGTTGTTTTGAAATTCAGTGAGAAATATATCATATATACCCCAGAGGCTTGAAAGTATTCAGGTCCGAGCCAGGCACACCTGTGACTGACAGCATGAGCAAATATGGGTACAGTGTCAAGATAAAGCTTAAGACTGGGTTCATCCAGTTCATCAAACAGAATGCATGCTGGGGTCGTTTTCTGACCCAGAATGGTCTCAATTTCAAAGCAATCTCAACTACTCCGACAAACGTTCTCAGCAATGACTCAAACACTAAAACTGATCATAGGATTCTGGTGTGCTCAAGGGAAACAACTCTGAACTTTGAATTGGGATGCCTACAACTTGGCCACCTCCTGGTGGGCAATAATCCCGACTGTAAGGGTTCAATGACCATGTTATCAACCAAGTCACCAGGCCTGCCAACCTGACCCATTAAGTACAACTTTAAATTGTTGGGGTCCCTTTCTTGCCAGGGATCCCTATGGGGGTGTTCACTATTCATCAACCTGACCACTGTGATTCAGGTTCCACCACTCTCATCACTCACTCCAACTGACAGCCATCATGGGACAGGGTTCTGACTCTCACATGGCCTATTGAACAGCCTGTGTTAAGAGATATGTGTCATATCATACACTTTGGGAGTACACTTGGCAGAGAACGACCTCAAGAAACAGCTCAGACATGATCATGGACACTCAAACAGATTGACCTCCTTTAGCTTTGACCTTGAATGTTGACCATGCTTATCCTCAAGAGGGTCTGCTGACCCACTTCCATGCTCACAATTCCATATAAGGTACTCTTATACTCGCTTAAAGCAAGAACTGTTTGAGCTTTTCCACCAAAAGCAATGTTCAGGATATGAAACGTTACAGCATACACAAAGTGCTGTATGCACATAATATGATTTCAATGGGATTAAAATGATAAACCAATGAATAGAAATGCTAAATTAACTTGACTAGCAGCTGAATTGTAGAGCATATCAATCCTCACTTCAACTGGCCAAAAAAAACAGAAAACAAAAAGACACATTACAACTTTCTCTATGAATAAAATATGTAGCAAATACTTGTGATGAATGATCACTGCAGAATATCCTAATATGCAAGAACAAGTAATGTTCTTCAACAGCTTTGAAGTCCTCCATATCAGCTGAAATACCTACTAGACCATGCGTTTTATTCACTGTACTCATTGCACCTGCACAGAGTTTTGAGCCGTAATGATTTCTGCATATTTGACATTTTCAAAGCTATCATTTCCCCTCCTACTTTCATGGACCATCACATGTGAGCTTGATGTTTTACGGAAATGGAAACAAAGTAACAAAATCAGTTATGTTTGGCAATGAATCCACTCATTCATATAATATTCATTACTGAACTGATTAAAACTGATTTCTTTTCAGTATATCTTACACTTTTTACAGAGGTCAGGAATGTATATGTAAGCATATTCTTCCTTATAGTGAATGATCTCTAAGTTAGACCTGAAACATCACTACATGTTGGCAAAAGAAATGCAGTGAGCATAATAAAAGTTCATGTTTCAGGCAGTCTACAGTACACCACGAATATAGCGGCAGCCAACAGTACCAC